TAGAAGTGAGAGAAACTTAGCGATGACGATGACGAGTAGATCTACTATGTGAGACTACGCTGACGAGAAAGATTTACCTATCATAGACCTTCCACCTTGATTTTATAGCAAATTTTGAATTAAATTCATTAGTTTTGAGAGATTTAGCTGAATAAGCGAGAGAAATTTACCTATCATAGACCTTCCACAACTTAGTGATGACAATGACGAGTAGATCTACTTTGCGAGACTGCGCTGACGAGAAAGATTTACTTTACATGAATGAGCTGGTGAAACGAGGGAAACGTGTTCCAACTAATACAAAACACTGTAAAAAAAGAAACAAGCGTAGCCAAGTTATTAAGAGCAGTATATATGAAATATACGTCAACATTGAAAAATTGTATTTAAAAAATAAAAATAAAACGTTTGAATTTTAACTCTAGCTTCCTTCTTTCCACATTGTTAATATATGAATTTTAATTTTCACTAACAACTGAGTTTTTTAATCCAATATTTTCTCTTTTATTGCATGCACTTAGACGTTAAAATTCAAGTTCGAGTATGGGATTGAAGGAGAAAAAAAAATCATCAAACTCTAGGCTAAATAAATGAATTGAGAAAATTAGGGTGGTGGTACCACACACATCTTCTTAATTTTCAACTGTTAGATTAAATAAATTAAAAAGTATTACGTCCGCAAATTAATAATGAATATGACAGTTAAAATGGATAAAAATAAAAATAACACCGGAAAATGCGCCGGTAGTAGCTCTCCTGTCCAATTGCTTATTTCGCATGCAATAAAGAATTAGTTGTGAATTTACAAGTAGCTCACTCTCGCGCCACTTATTTACGGTTTTACCGCGAAGCCCAGATTGTGTGCGGCGTCGAGTTCTGCGTTTTTCGGTCTTCAGGGAGTCTCCGGACCGCCAAACTGCGTGGAGTTTCGCGATGGAATGATTAAGCGAATCGCAGCCGTTAACACGTTTTTGTATTTATGACGCCATAATAGTAGGTAGTGACGTAACTGACGTTATATGTCGGCACCCACCAAAGCGCTGAAAGGGAAAGGGCAGCGCACGCGCTGTCGACGGAAGAGTCACGCCGGCAATTGTGTGGACTGGACGTGCTGCACGTGTTGGAGATGTCGTTTTGGACTATGAACAAGGAATGGGCCGGTGTTTTGGACTAATTAAATTGGTTATGATTGAAACCAAGAATGATTAACACGTTAATCGCAGTATTATAAATATAACTAGGAAACTAAGCAACAACAACGACAATTAAATATCAAGTAGTTGAGATTATCGTTGAATATTTTGTTTTCTCGATTTTTGGACTTTATATATGAGTTGTGATTGCGGTCCCACGCATATTACAATTAGTGAATAACGTTTATAACCAACTAAGCTGAGATGGTAAATTACAACTAAGTAAAGGGCTACATGTGCTAACTTTTGAGTTTAGTTGGGCTAGCCCTGCACATAGTATTGCTAATACCTTGAGCTACAAGTAGGATTGGGCATGGGGAGTTATGGATGTAGGGAAGGAAAACTTGGGATGTTATAAGTTTGATTTAATTCACAGATTAGATTACAATCTCATAGTATTTCTCTTTCTTAATTATTTTCATAGAAGCGGGAATGGAGATGGTAGAACAAAATGTAGGACCTTTGGCGCTAATGTATATGCTCTAAACCACTTAAGCTATGAGTATTTTATCTATTCCTTACAGTATAAGACGGTCTGATTTTGAATCTCTCTTATTGATTTAAAACCTCTTTTAAGTCTAAACCCAAAAACATTTGAGGCCCAATGGGCATTATCATGGACCTATGGAAGTCAGAGAAAGAGAAGAAGAGCCCGGCCCAAGCCCAACACAAGGCTCGAAGCAAAGACTCCGACCCACCACAATTTGAAGGGAAAAAAGCACACACCTTTGCTTCTCAAACAATCCACAGCCATGGCGGGAACGGCAACCTCCTTCAACGTCTCCTCCGCCTCCTCCATCCTCAGCCGTCCGTCGCAGATTTCGCCGCTTTCGATCTCATCCAAGCCGTTCTTTCTGCCAATGCGGAGTTCTTCCCGAACCCCCTGCGTCTCGGATTTCCCAGTAAACTCCTTTGACTCTCTTACTCTTCGATTTTACTTTTTCTTGAGTTAAGTTCATGTAATTTTGGTTTTGGTCAGTGAAATGCTGCCTGGATTGTGAGAATTTCAGGGATAATGGCTTTTTCTAGCAATGACAGTAAAGTGGGTTCCAACATTGAAGTCGATTGAGCTCCTTGGCGAGTTATAGGTACTTATGTTTTCTTCTTCTTCTTCTTCTTCTTCTTCTTCTTCTTCTTCTTCTTCTTCTTCTGACTCATTTTTTAAGTCACTTTTTGAGTTAAAGTCGAAAAATTTGGACCTTTTTCTTATTGGGTACATAAAGTTTTGAGTTTTGATGGTATAATTCAATTTTATTGTGTTTCTTTTTGTTTGATAATTTACCATTTTCAGTACTAATCTCATGGCATTTGTGTTTGTTTTCGGGTAAGTTTTACGGTAAACATACTTTAGGGAGCTTGTATCATTTAGTTGGTCTATGAGGGTCAAAATGTACATGTTGGTTTCTCATGGTATTGTGATGGGTATGCGAGATGCGAAAAAATCGAAAGCCTTTTGAATACCATGACGCTTAGCTGATATGAAAACCTTTTTCTTTCGCTGCGTCATGCTTTCAAATCATGTCTTTTGCTTCGGGTAGGGGGATGTTGGTGTGTCGAGCGTTGCTTAAGAAGTTCGGGTTGCGTATAGGTGTACTTGATTGCCATTTGCCTCTATATCTGAGGTGTCTGTTTTTGTTTGTCTAATATTCCCATTGAGGGGGGCTTTCTTTTCTTCAGGGAAACTATTCATAACCCAGTTGAAGCTTACTGGTTTGCTGCCTGTTGGCCTTATGTAGAGTTTCTTCACATGAAACCTGCGAAAGGGACCGCATTTGCAAGGACCAAAATGCGCAATTATGCATCAGGAAACACTGTTGAGAAAACATTTCGAGCAGGCAGCACGGTAATGTTCATTGACCCATCATTAATTTCCGTGTTCAGATATATTTGAAGTTTATAGTATTTTGTTGCGGACATGCTTAACAAAGTCAACTGAAACATGTAGCATATGACATTATTTATTTTGTACGATACACGTTTCCCTCAACCCTCGCAAAGAGGGAAGCCTTGTTGGCTTGGTGTTGCCCTTTTTACATTTTTCTAGCAGTTTAACCTGAGAACCAAGTTAATATTTGTCTTAACTGATCGTGTCACATACTTTAGTTTATTTCAAACATATGACACTGTTTAACTTTCGGGTTCTATACAATGACATATATATACCTTCCCATGTTTCACTGTTTTTGCAGATCAATGAGGCAAATATATACAAGGAAACAAAGCAATTCGTATACAAAGACGGTCCCCAGTTTGTCTTCATGGACCTGGTATTCTTTGTTCGAGTCTCTACTTACAAAATTAGGGAGCTCGTTCTTGGCACTCCAAAATAGTCAGACATGTGGCATCTAATGCTGTAAGTATCTTTATTTCTCTATCTCAAACATGTTTTTACATTCACTCGTCTCAGACTACCTATGAAGAAACTCGTGTAAATGAATCGAGTATTGGGGACAAAACAAAGTGGCTGAAAGAGGGAATGGACTGCAATTTGCTTCTTTGGAATGATAAAGTACTTTCCTTATTCTCTTTGAGCTATCCATTGCTTTCAAGCTATTAGATTTCCAGTTTTTTCTGCAAAATGATGCTCTAGATAGATTGTGCCAAGATGGCTCTTTTTTCCGAGGATAATTGTCCGAGTGCAGCTCTTACGCTCTACCTAATAAACTTAGAGAAGTCTCGAGTAATGTATTTAAATTCATTGACATTATGATAATACATCTTAGATTCATGCTGAGATGAATCGTGGTTGTTTGTATGGAAACTACGGTCTTTGAAAAGCAGTCTGTACTTTTTTGTGTACTTGCAGCTTATCGATGTTGATATCCCCATCACAGTGCAGCTGAAGGTGGTTGATGTTGATCCTGGACTTAAAGGTGACACAGCTCAAGGTAATGCAATTTATGTCCTCTTGCAAATTTCGAAATACCAAATTTAGTACTCTATTGGTGTAAATACCCATCAGTCCATGTCTTGTTTGGAGACATGAAGACTGGCAAAATACCACCAGACCGAAATGCTATTACAGGGTTAGGCCGAGAAGATGAGCTGATTAACCAGCTCTTTGTGCAGACTGTCTGCCTCGTTTATCTCTCGGGTTTTAGAAATTTTTAGAATTCGCTATTGCACCGTCTCTCAGAGGAAATTTTTGAGAATGGAATATCTTCTCTTGGTGGCATATTAATTTTTGTTTTCCCGTTCTTAAGGTATCGTTTAGTATGCAGACGGGACGAGACGGGACGGAACGGAATGGATGGGACGGGACGGGACGGAACAAAGAGGGAGCAAAGATACTCTCGGATGGAAACAAGGAGGAAGAAGGAGACGTAGAGGTTATAATTTTGTGTTCCACGGAAGTGGAACGAGTCGTTCCAGGGCGAGAGGCGGAACAAAAATTCACCAAAAACTCGTCCCGTGGAACAACGCCTTCCACCAGTTTTAGGCGCACCAAACATGGGACGCAACGTCTCGTCCCACTCCGTTCCGTCCCGTCCCACGTACCAAACGGTACCTTAAATTCACATGTGTTCTTGCCCAGGAGGTGGAACAAAGCGAGCGACTCTTGACACCGGTGCTGTTGTCTATGTCCCGCTGTTTGTAAGTAGGTGACGAAATACTGGTGGATACCAGAACCGGGCAATACATGACTCGTGCTGAGAAAAATTAGTAGAGTTCTGCCTCAGAGATTTCTTATCATCGGCCTCGGAAATTTTGTACTGTATTTTTGTTTACTATGCAGAGACTTTACTGCATTTGACGATAGAGCCTAGAAATGTTATATCTGTACATCAAATTAGTGGAAGAAAGAAATGAGCACGAGCAAAGTTTTCTCATTGTTGAGGTTTTTTATTAGGAATTACACCTCTCTTCAACGCCGCGCCATAAACGCTACAAGCACCGAGGAAACTCCCCTGTCGATTCAGTTCTTGGATTACAGGGTTATACGATACCCTACCGGTTGCTCTACCCCCTTCGAACATGATGCTCAAAACTAACAATGCCTCGAATACCTTTCCCTCAACACAAAGGCCTTGAATCACATTGTTAAAGGTGACGATCCATGGCGAATGCCCCGTTCGAACCATCTGCTGCAAACTGACCAAAGACTCGTCCATCTTCTTCCCCATGCAAAGACTCTGGATCATGAGGCCATACGTACTCGCATCTATACCCGAATGCCCGCTCTGCATTTTCTCAAACACTTGGTGTGCATCTTCCAAGAGGTCTTTTTCCTTCCATGATCTCCTACACAACCCTCTCACAAGATTGTTCATCAATCTCTCCTCCACTTCAAACCCATTTTCCACCATCTCCTCATAAACCCCAACCGCATTTCGAATCTTCCCCCATTTCAACAGTCCATGCAGCAAACTACTGTAAGTGATACAATCAGGAATGCAGTTCATCTCCTTCATCTTCTTCAACACATTGAGCCCCTCCATGGGCCTCCCTTCCTTGCAGTATCCATGAAACAGAGCATTGAAGCTCACCGCATCCGGAATCAACCCGCTCTCCATCGCTTCCACGAGCAATTCCATCGCCTCATCCGATCGACCCACTTTACAAAATCCATCCATAACAGCAGTGAATGTATATATATCAGGTTTCACTTCATCTTTCTTTATTCTCATCAGCATATCATATGCATCCTCCACTCTCCCCACATAACATAACCCCTTCAGCAAGCAATTGTAAATCTGCACTGTGGGCTTCAAACCAACCCTACCCATCACCTCAACAACCTCCATAGCCCTCTGCAATCTACCCCTCTTGCAGAATGCATTTACCAGAACAGTAAAAGTTGCAGGATCTGGGTAAAACCCATTTTCCACCATGTGGGTTAAAACCCCTCTGGCCCCATCCAGATCGTTTTTACCGCAGTAACACCTTATCAGGATGGAAAATGTCAGAGAATCTGGCACCAACCACAGAGCTGATGATATTTCATCAAACAAGCTCAAGGCAATATCAGGCTCTTGTGCTATTACCAGAGCCATCAGCAGAGAATTGAATTCAGATGCGGTTTGAAAACAACCATCTTTTTCAAAAAACACCATGAATTTCACTTGTTTTTTTTAAGGGCAGAGCTCTGATTCTGTCAATGAAATCCTGCACCTGCAATGCTGGCTGGGTTGTCAAAACTCGGATTTGGGTTTTCGTTTTTGGACTGAAAGATGTAATCTTTTGGGGGCTTCTGGTGGATTTTGGTCGGATTTGTAGCTGAGGATGAAAGTGCTGCGAGGAAAAGCAGCTTACTGCTGTATTGGGTTCTCCAGAAAGGAGATGGAGATGGAGAGTGAAAAAGTGTGCAGGGTGCTGGGTACGAAGAAGGCATCAGAGAGAGGTCCATGGATAATTTCTGGAGTTGTGTCTGAGCTAAAGCTTGGAACAGCAATAAAAATTAAAAAGTTCTAAAATTTTGATTAGGTTCGGGGAAAACGATATCAAATACCATGTCGTTTTTGGAGAAAATTTTGTGTACACTTGGTTAACCATGTCATCCTTACGCTTACACTCAACGACGAACACCCTCGGGTTGGTGAAAGTGGGTCTTTCTGGTAAAACTCTCTAAATAGCATGGTTGCGTAAGTGGATGTACGAATGACGTGATTCTCTAAGTGGATTCGAGAATTCCACCGTCTATTACAACGGACAAGAGATAAACTTACTTACATTAAGAATATTACTATGATATGATGGTATTCAAGTTAAAGAGGTCGCACTTGGTGCGATGGCAAGTGCCTTCGCCCATGAGCGGTAGGTCTCGGGTTCGAGACTTGGAAGCAGCCTCTTCATAAATGGGGGTAAGGCTAGCCGACATTCACCTCTCCCAGATCTTGCGTAAAGCGGGAGCCTTGTGCACTGGGTACGACCTTTTTTTATGATGGTATTCAAGTTACTTATGAATTGTCTTGTATTTTTAATTTTTTCTAAAATTCCATAAATAACTTAAGATACTGTCATAATCATATTCCGTTATGAAACTTGTGATTAGCGTTTAAATCCTCGCCAATCACCAGAAGTTTGCAACATTTCATGTATGTGTATCATGTAAAAATGTGCATGGAAGAGGCACTTGCAACAGGAACTAAAAACATGGAATGAAACGTTGGAACTTCAGACACTATATAAAAAGTTTACTAATTCCCAGATGCTGCGACTTTCAAATGCGTACAGATCTACTAAATGTCTTCCAAAACCTGGGGTCTTTGGCATCCGGGATTGGGATGTCCTTCTTTTTTCCACCCATTCTGCTCAGAATCGGTTTGATCATCTTCCTCAGTACCTTGTTAAACCCCAACCCACGTCTCTTCTTCGCAACCAAATGTAGCGGTGATGGTGGTGGAGGTGGAGGTGGCGGTGGCGGTTCTGATGGACCTTGAGTGATTAAAAGAGGAAACTCGGACCGATGTACGCCGGCTCGGAGAGACTCCGACGCAGCATTGCCTGGTTGAGTTGCAACTCGATGGAGAGCCTCTCGAAATGATCGAGCAGGGAGCTCTTGTCGTCTCCGAGCTTCCACAGTTTCACTTGATTTTTTGCTTCAACTTCCTTCATCGCCTTCTTTGCCTCCACCATTTTCTGCACATTGATTGTGCTAATGGAACCGAGAGAGTACTAATAACCGAAGAATTTGGTTTACTTTTTTGATGTGGGAAGATTAAGGATTCGGATTCATTTGAAGTCTGCAAGGAAGCAAGGAATATCACCAACATGGAATCTGAAAAGGCTGTCATAATTTATGCAGTAGGTTGCAGTACTGGTCCAATATAATTCCTCCAAACGAGAGAGGTAAATGTAGAGTACATTATTGTTAATTCTTGTGCTAATATTATAAATTGTTGTACCAAAAACATGAAGTGGCAAAGTGCATTGCGAGTCCCAAGTTTGAGAGTCTCCTTTAGCATTTTCAAACACTTGTATATTGGACAACTGGATTTTAACAGTTTTAATCTGGTCATTCAAAAACTAGTGCATGAAAAACCATGCACCATTATCAATTAAAATTTCAAACAAATTTTTGTTATGTGATACTTAAATGCGATTACGCAATACAACTCGTTCGCATGATATAATTTACGTAAATGTTTAATGATATGGACCAAAAGGCAAGAGTTTAGAAGCCAAAAATTGGAGTCATGACTTTATTCTTTCTTGCATCAAAGATCTTGTGTTTTATTCCATAGATATCAAATCGACACTCTTTCCGGTGTTCAAGACTTGTTTGGCACACAAGTAATATAGATTCATTTGCAATAGCAATTGCCTTTGTGGTCTTTTTTTTTTCTTTTTTTTTTTTGTTTCTAGTAACTTGGAAGCATTATATTGTGCATTAGATCTACAGTACACCAACACTAGTACAAGGATGACTTGTCCGGTCACCTTGCTCCTTTTTTTTCTCCTTCTAATACCAATAAAGCCATTAAATCACGTTCTACTAGTCAAAACGTCTAATCAGAATAAGCCTAGATTAATATCAGTTCGTACCTGGAGAAGAATTCATCGTGAAAGAGTTAATATTTCGATCTTCTCTTCTCTTAATTTCTTAAAGTTCCGCTCTCAATAGAACAAGCTCCTCCTATCATGGAATCAGTTACAACAATTTCTTAAGAGGTTTTAACCATCTCTTAATCCAAAACGTTTTTTCATTAATGTATCATTAAATATATTAATTCCATTAATAATATCTATCTAATTACTTGTATATCAAAAAAAAATATATATATATATATATATATATATATATATATATACAGGGAGCTTAAGGGGAGGGATTCCCATTTTTTCAAAAAAAATGGGGACACGCTCCCCACCGTTAGATTGACTTTAATGAAATTGTGTGGTTGAGATTAAAACACAGGCCATAGAATCTCAACCACAGGATTTCATTTAATTCAAATCCAACGGTGGGGAGCGTGTCCCCATTTTTTTGAAAAAATGGGGATCCCTCCCCTTAAGCAATTCCTATATATATATACACCAAACACAATTTGGTCTCACTCGCATTAAGAGTAAGCTCTTACATTCTCCCATATGAGAGTCTCCCTAGTTATTATTGTGCGTTTCATCAGAGTTATGAATCGAACCCATAACGTGTCATATAAAATACGAGCCAAAAATTCGTCTCCAAATTACTGAACTATCATGTGGTGTGGTTGATCAAATTATTAGTTTGTTTCGCTTAAAATTCATTAAGATATGACAAATTGCACATAAAATAGCAACATATTAGAATAAATAAACAACAGTAATAGCTAGGAGCAAATACTGGTGTATTCAATTGAGAATTTAAGAGATTTTAATGAATTTATAAATTCATAGATTTTTATAGAGTTTAACTAATTTGTAAAGATTCTATGTAAAATTTTAATTCAATTCCCTCAAAATCTCATGAGGAGATGTGAGATTTGTGAATGCTTAAAATACACTACAAAATCTCTTCAATTCCCTCTAATTTCTCCACTTTTCCAAATTCTTGAAATTCAAATTATAATTGAATTCTTTACAATTCTAATTGAATACATCCAGATTTATAAGGATTTTAATAAACTATCTTAAAATCTTAATTGAATACACATTAAATTTCAGAAAATCACTTAAAAATTCTGATTGAATCCCTGAATTTTTAATCGAATAGATTCTCTTAATTTTTAATTTATTTTAATATTACCACCATCACATCGTATCTCAGTTGGCACAATTACTAGTTTGCTACGTGTCCCAAACCGTCCGATTGGAGTCTGGAATTTCTCTGCGCCTGCGAAGAAGCTGACTTCGCCAGCAAACCAGCGTCAAATCTCTGCAAGCACACAGATTCCAAATCCAAAACCATAATTCTCGATCCAATCCCCAAACCCTGAAATCCCAACCCTTCCACAATCCCATTTCTCCCCAAACTCAAAATCCTAACACAATCCAAATCCACCTCAAATTCTAACCCATCTCGTCGTTTCCACCCAAATCTGCAGATTTCATCTTAATTCATAAATCCTGCAACTTTATCCCCAAAATGCGATTATTCGGATCGGGATTCGGAGCAGTTTCTAGGGTTTTGCCGCGGAGAAGCTGAATCCGATCCGAAAAGGAGAATCGAATTCTGAATTGAATGGATAGAATCGGTTTTCTGGCGGTGTTCTTCATCATCTTCGTCGTCGTTGAGGTTTCCGATGCTACTTATCTTCTCTCCAAGCACAGAGTTTGATTGGTGAGCCTCAAAACGACACTACGGCAGTACCAGTAACTCTCTTTCCCTCTCTAGAATATGAATTTCTTACTTTTTAAAGGTAAAAAATCGCAACTTTATTTGTTTTTGAAAATTATAGGAGAACGTCAAGGTTAAGGAGGATTCTCCGGTCCCGAGTCCGCTGCTGCCTTCTACGGTGTCAAGATCTGGTGGAAATGGGTCGGATACTAAGCCGGTTGATGATCCGAGTAAGGACAAAGTGGAGACTCCGCAACCCACGAAGACTACGAAACAGATAGTGGATCAGGTCCCCAAGGGGGGCTTGAATAATCAAACTAAAAAGGGTGAAGGGAAGGATCCGGAAACAGAAAAGAAGGATCCGGAGCCTGACAAGACATTGAAGAAGGATCCGGAAACAGAAAAGAAGAAGCCGGACGCTGACAAGGTGGATCCTCAGCTGGTTCATGACAAGTCAAAGGATGATAATGTGACTCGTTCCGTGGATGAAGGTGGTAAGAAAAAGAGTAAGGAGAAGGAGAAGGAGAAGAAGAAGAATGATGATGTGACCCAATTGCCAAAAGAGGATAAGGAAAGCTGTGATGGGGTAATCAAAACATGTGAGGTCAAGGGTGTGGCGATTGCTTGCATTAAGAGCTTCGATAGTGGTAATGCACATAACTGTTGATGCTATTTCACTGACATTCTACACTAATTGGTTTGCAAGAAAATGTGTTTTGTTGTGAGATGGAATTCAAAGATGAAAACTTAGAAATTATTATTGATTGGTTGGTTATGTCTTTGCATAAAAATCAATGCTTCTTATTTATGTAAGCTCCAGATGGTCGAAAGTCATTTCTTGCGAGTACTATTTGTTATCCCTTTTCTTTTTTTGGTGGAAAGGCATTGCCATTCAGTACAGGCTATATATTTGTAATTACATATAATTTGGCTTGTTCTATGACACAAGGCATGATAGGAAGGTTCGTAATGAAGTTTATAAACGTGATGCTGTATCTGAACCATCAATCAGTAAACATGAATATATTTTCAGTTTTGATGGAAAGATGAATGCCCTTGGGTTCTAAATCTCTATGTCTATAAGATTACTTTGAGATTATCTGGGGATTTATCTTGGATATTGAAAAGCTTAAAGGCGCCACTGTGTTAGTTACATATCAGACTTGTTTTTTATGTAGTTGTTGTATATACTGTGATAGTGTGATCTTGCAGACTGTTTCTGTGACATAAATAGTTGATACTTTTTCCAGAGTTCTACCTTTCATTGTTGTTTATTGAGTTTGTTTAGTTGACCTAGATTTGGGTGTTTTATTGAAATATGTTTGGACTTAAAAAAACAAAATCTGGCTTGCGGAGTTTGATGAATATAAGGAGCAGAATTAGACCTGCTTTCAGTTTAGTGTCAGACGTATCAAAAGCTATGTACATCTTTCGAAACTGTTCTCTGAGGGAGAGGTATTCTCTTAAGTTTGCATGGGTAGTTGGAGATGTTAAATTGCATTTGTGTCGAGTGAAATTGCATCGACTTACCAGTTAGCTGTGGATTTAGAGTAGTGTAGATCAATCAATACCACCTGACCTCATAATTATTAGTGAGATGAAAATACACTAATTTTCTGTTCTTTTCTCATGTTACAGGGTCCAAAGAAGTGGCCATTCTGGTCCAAAACGTAGGAGACAGCACTTTGAAGGCAAAGCTTTCTGCAGATGATGCCAACAAGGATCTAGAGATCCTCAAACACAAAAATAAAAAGGTAAAGATCATAGCATTCTACCAGTGTTCATAGGATAATAATCGAAGCTTTTCAATGTTGGATGACAACAAGGTTCTAAAAGACGCTAGGCGTTAGTCGTGCAGCGAGTTGGGGCCTAGCGCCTAGGTGGACTAGGCGGATTTAAGTAAATCTATTATATTTTGTATAAATAAGTCTTTCTTTACACTTCAAATATATATAATTTCATCATAAACTACAAAATAAAATGACATATATATATTATGAAGTATTGGAACATAATGAAAACATGGGGAACAAGCATATAATGTGTGTTCATTTAAGTATTAAACAAGTCTCTTACAAGTTATTAAAAAAATAAAATGCAAAATGAAAGTTATTTATTTTCTGTCTAAGTGAGTCGCAACCTAGGCAAGTGCCTAGGTGAGTCTGGACGGGCTAGGCAGGCGCCTCAACAGGTCTAGGTACCCTTTCTTAATTTTCAAACGCCTAGGCATTAATCGGGGTGGTGGCCAGCCGACTTTGCCTAGGCGGGGATTTTTAGAATAGTGGATGACAAATGCTGTTGTATCCAACAATCAAAAGTCTTTGACAAAAAAAGAGTCAAAAGTCTAGGCACATAAGAGAATTCCTCGTCATAACTCTGCTACTTTGTTATTGCTTTTCTGTGGTGATGTATCTTTTCTTCTCATTTCTAGACAACAACAATAAAGCCTTTTCCCACTAAGTGGGGTCAGCTGTATGAATCCTAGAATGCTATTACGCTCGGTTCTGTGTCATATCTTCCGTTAGATCCAAGTACTCTAAGTCTTTTCTTAGAGTCATTTCCAAAGCCTTTTCTTCTCTTTCAAAACAACAACAACAACAACAAAGCCTTTTCCTACTAAGTGGGGTCAGCTATAAAAAAGCCTTTTCCAACAAAGCCTTTTCTTCTCTTTCTAAAAAAAGAAAAAAATTTGAAAGTCGCCATGTGATGACATAGTTTTCACCTTCTGATTAGACCACAAGTCTTGCACTTTTCTTTGTTGTGTGGGTTTCCAAACACAAGAATGGCAGTCTTTTGTAAATTCCTGTGGGAACAGTATAATATTTTTGGATTGGCCTGAATGTGTAAAAAAAAAAGGGAAAGAAACATGACCAATAAGACTACATTTGGTAGCGTGTTTTTCTTCTCAGCTAAAAAAAACGAAGAGGAGAGGAGAGTGGAAGGGAGATAGGTTAATTAACAGACTGATTTTTAAAAGAAAAATAAAAAGCATAAAAAGTAAAAACTATTTTAGATAGTTTTTTGTTGTAGTTCTCTTCTCCCTCACCAGCTGGTAAAAAACAATTCGATTCTTCCTCTCTTATCCTCTCTCATCGAGCTTTCTCCCCTTAAAATGTTGGGAACATATTAGAATTGTGGCTGAGATAAGCGGAAGGGAGATGGGAAAGTTTATGAGAAGGGACATACATTCTACACTACCGGTGTTCTCCTTAGAACCGAAATGTTGATAACCCTGTTTCTGTTTAGATGACCAGCTGAATTGATAAGACCATGCAAAAGACTTGCCATTGGATGCATGACCTTACTTAAAGTTTGTTGACCTGCCTTGTATAGGTTCATTATTTGGTGTCCTAAATGAACCATGGAATTATACTTGTGTCTGTCACTGTTACGTGGGGCTTAAGTTGGCATTCTTTTTATAATCAAAATTGATCTGTTTACTATTTCTTTTACAGGTCAATATATCAGTTGATATGGGCAAAAGCACCACAATAACACTAAATTCTGGAAATGGAGAATGTGAGCTTCTTATGGATCCTCTCCCTCTGGCACCTGAAGGAAACTTATTCATGCGTTTCCCTTCGCTCGAGACTTTAGCGACCCCGATCAATGCTGCGTACTTCTTGATTATTACGGTGCTAATTTTTGGAGGAACGTGGGCTTGCTGCTTGGTCAGGAAGAGGAAACAACGTACTGGAGGTGGAGTCCCATATCAGGAACTTGAAATGGGATTGCCAGAATCTGTTTCAGCAACTGCTGTGGAAACAGCTGAAGGTTGGGACGAAGGTTGGGATGATGATTGGGATGGCGATAATGCGGTGAAAACACCTGGGACGCATCTGGGAAGCATCTCTGCGAATGGCCTTACATCGAGGACCGCGAACAAGGATGGGTGGGATAATGATTGGGATGATTAGTTAGTTTAGAGCAGCTCAAAAGAAAGAAGAAAATGGGAGAAGAAGAAGAAGAAGAAAAGAAGGACGAGGTACGAAAGAACAAAGTAGGAAAGTCGAGATACAAAATGTAAAACCTTTGTTGACAAACTGCATTGTTGAAAGTAGCGGTTTTCGTGTAACAGTGAGATCCCAGGAGTTAGGTCTGTATAAGTGATTGATTTTTACTGTAATTGCAAGAGGTAATATATTTTTGGCCAATGTAGTACACACTTTTGCTCCACTTGGTTCGGTTACTTCAAATTAATTTCAACAAGGTTAAACTTGAAGTCTTTATGTGACTCGTTCTATAGGTTATACAACCCTAGTAATTCAAGAAGTTTCTACAGCATCCTGGCTCGTTTAACATTGTATAGGGGTGCCGATGAAGATATAGCGATTCTTGCTCACTTATCATTGTGCTCGGGACACACAACACGTCACTTTCGGGTGACGATGTAGCTTTAGCACAATTTCGTTTACAATTTTAGCAATTCGAAAAAATAAGTTAAGGTAAAAAAGACATGTATGGATTAGTCTATTTACTTTTCTCATGGGATATGGTGTTAGAGCTAAAAATACTGGATCATATTATCACACAATGAAAACTAGAAACTAGACACGATGGTCTCATTTGTTGTCTATGATTGAGCTGGACTGAATAGCTCACTAGATTACGTTGAAGGAAGAAATGCAAGACGACTTTCAAATTTTTGTCGAAGTTGAAAGTAGAACATGCATTACATTTTGATGGAATCTTATCCTTTCCAATATGTCCATTTTTATGAGAGTTTGGAAGATATATATTTTCTTTATGACCGGTCAATTTAATTCCTTTCACTTTAACATATTTTGAAACTTGAGATTCATTTCTTTCTTCAACGTACCTTAAATCTAGTGAGTTATCTAATTCTACACACCAAACACGGCCGATATCTTCCCGGGGTTTCCCCAAATACAACAGGTAATTTCTTGTAAGCTAGGCAGTAAACTTTTGCCTTATAATATCATACCTCCTGTACCTGCAACGCTGCAAATTATAGTTGTGCATTGTGGAAAGCAAACAAAAACAGTAACAGATGGGGAAACAGAAGAAAACCCCAGCTCGAATCGAATGCCTTTGCCTTTATACAATTTGGTTCCCATGTTCTAGCTGATAACTGGGACCCAACTGGAAAATACAGATAGTCGATATGGTGCTGTCTACTTCCCCTTTTTTGTCAGCACTCACCAGGTCCCCTCTGAAGTTGACATCACATCACTCACGTCCCTATCTCATCTCCAAAGCATACTTTCCTTTTACTCTTGCTTATGATCTATGAGCACATCCAATGTACAACAACAGAGCCAAACATACCTGGGTGACTTACATGTACTCGTAGTGTCACTGTGGTGGTCGTATTTCGTATCAGTAACGCGTTGTCGTATAGAAGTATTCCTCAGGTACCATCGCAATGACATTTAGAGTGTAGGTAAATTTTTCTTAGATACTAATGACATGAAACGAGAAGTGAAATAAGTAGAATTAAATCAGTCAAGGGCTTGATACTTGAGAGAGATTTGAGATTGAGTAGTGCTTAAGGGATCTTAAGAGGGCTCGAGAACCGTTCGTGATGTCTTCAAGTGTCTATATTTTTATATCTTTAAAAAGATCATAAGTCGGTAATGAGAGATTTTTTAATGTGTCGAAAATACTGCCCAATACATCAAGTGTAATAATACAATTAGTTGGAAACTTAAAATAACAAATTTAACCAATTACAATTAATGTATCGGACTATGTTTCTGACATATTAAAAATGACTCGCCATTAACCGGTTAGTAAAGTGTTGATTTTTCGAATTTTCATTAAAAAATAACCTAACACAGATTAAATTCGATGGAGTTGGGACATGAACAAAATACAGTACTTTTTGGTATGATGATTTTGCCTTGACAGGAGTCTCACTCACGCATTTAGGTGGTTAGTGGAAGCGTGGTGGGTCTTTCACTCATTCTGTTACTCCTTGAAAAACACCAAGAAGCAAAGCCGACAACTTTCTCCTCCCTAAATGCATCCATTTCCAAGGTGGTGTTTTATTTTCTCTGTCTTCTTGGCCTTAATCAATTCGAAATTTTTTTATTATGTTCTGATGTATTTTATATATTATAATTTTTCTTGACAAAAAAACTGTAGCGTGGATGATAATCTCATTGACTAGTTTAGATTTGGTTGCACTTGCATTCTTACGAGAAATTCTGCAATATACTCAGGGTATTTTCCGCTCTCATATGTCGAGAGCTAGAGAAAATGAGATATACACGCAATTGGACTCAAGATTTTGCCGGCCGAAGATATATTCTCTTATTCTTATATTTCTCTTTAGGTTATCCATCACAAAACATAACAGAATATACAACCAGTTGCACCTTAGTCTCTCTACTATTAAAAAGGTGGTTTATTTGTTTGTTTTGGTTGCGTGATTATAAATCAAAATGTTCTTATTGTAATGTACAGGACATGGCATGATTGCCAATTTGCCGTGCACTACGAATAATCACTTTTGGAAAAGCGCTTCTAAGTGGCTTTTGAGGACGAAAGGAGACCCATGTGAGGTGGTTTCATGATGTTCCAAAGGCCGTTTGATTAGGTTCCCCTCTCGGGTCCAACGCCATTTGATTAAACAAAAGCTTCACATCTAAGTGTTAATGATTATTCACCACGTTTGCAGGAAGTCATAAAGCTTTTCAAATTAAGAGAAAGATTAAACAACACACTAATCTTGATTAGGGTCAGTGGAGTACACATAAATATGCACATGATGATATTAATTTTGAATGATAAAAGTTAATTTTTTTACCACGTTTCATCTACAAATTCTTCAACTTGAGTGAAAAGATACTGTAATTAGAGCCTAGTAGTAGGACTAAAAAAAGTAACATGGCCAACAAAAAAAAATTGAGGGTATATAAATAAAGTAATCTGGCCTAGTTTCCACAGATTTTTATGTGTGCCGGAAATATGACACGGTACAACAAGTGTAATATGATATAATTAGTTAGAAACTTAAAGAAAAAAATCAAACTAATTATATTATTACACTTGATGCACTGGCTAATATTCCTGACATGCTGAAAAATCTCTCCCCTAAAAATGCAAATGATGATGTTGCTTTTAATCTTTTGCAGTGTTTTTATAAGGAAAATTATGGGTATTATTCTACTTCGTCTTTTGAACTTTTAATTTGGTTTTTTAGCTTTTATGAATTATATCCATTATTCTATTTTGTCTTTGAACTTTCGAATGTCTTTGAACTCTCATAAACTTTCAATTTATGTTAATGTCGGGAGATAGCGACACAAATTGACATTTTAAGGAGGCTCAAAACCAAATTAAACGTTTAGAAGGCAAAGCTGAACAAGGTCCAAAGTTTAGGAATCATTGCTAAAGTTTTACATATTTTCTTTATTTCGAGGCACTATCTTTTAGTGAGAGTATTGAACTCCAGTTTGGTCTCTATTAGTATCTCCTTTTAATATTGGCCATGCGTTTGACTCTCCCCTCTCTATTGGCAAAAAACCAAGGACATTATGAAACATAGAAACGGAGAACGACTTACATACACTTCCCGTACGCCACAAATAGCACGATGACATGTAGGTAACACACGAACACAAGTCCAGAGACGGATCGAGTAAATTGTTGTTTACACTCAGAGATCTTCAACCCAAACCCTAATTAAGTTGTTCAATTTCAAACCGGTGAAAAGCAATCCGGCACCTTATAAGTGCTATAGAATTAAGTGGGGAAAATAATACAGAAATAAATACATTACTGAAAAACGGATTTGAAGACATGGAGATGGAACTCCAACACTCTGTATTCTTTTTGCTTTTGCTTGAAACAAAACCGGATTGATCTTCACCGGAACAAGGCGATTACCTGTTCATTTTCTCAATCTGTAAACTAAGTTTATTCTAATTCTTCATGGCCTTCTGAAGGGCATTGGATGAGTTCTAAAATGTTGATCACTTCACTCATGTCCGGGCGATTTGATGGCACTTGAGACGCGCATATTAAACCCAGCTTTACCACCGGAATTGCCTCCTCTGCTGGAAAATTGCCAAGGAGATTTTTGTCAAGGCATTCCTCCACCCGGCCTTCCTCGAGCGCTCCCCTCACCATGTCACAGAGTACTATCACGTCATCCTCCAAATATTCGACAGGCCTCTTTCCAGTCACCACCTCCAAAACCAAGATTCCAAATCCATACACATCACATTTCTCAGTAATCTTAACCGTTTGACATGCAAACTCAGGCGCCATGTAGCCAAGCGCGCTTTGGATTTTGCTGCTTAAGATGCACCGGTCTAGTGTTGGCAACAGCCTTGCCAAGCCAAAGTCTCCCACCTTAGGCTCGCCATTGCTGTCTATCAAAACATTAGTTGATTTCAAATTGTAGTGGATTATCTTCATTTGGTGCAAATGAGCCAAACCCTTTGCCATCCCGAGAATTATGTGGAACCTCTGCCGCCAGGTGAGGCAGGTTTTGCCAGGTCCGTCATGCAGATTCTTAAACAGACTCCCGCATGGTATGTATTCATAAATGATGAGCTGCAAGGACGGAGTCCAGTAATACCCTTCTAGGGCCACAAGATTACGGTGCCTGATCTTTCCAAGTCCTTTAACTTCCCTCTCGAAATCTTCTTGGGACTTGATCAAACTTGAGACTGTTAGCTTTTTTATCGCAACTGAACGCCCATCACGAAGGGCTGTTTTGTAAACTACTCCAAACCCACCACGACCAAGTTCGCAGTCCTTGTTGAGCAAGGCTTGTGCCCCAGCACCAAAGTCGGCATCACCAGAAAACATGACAAGCTTGCCGTAGTTTGGATCATTAGCAGGGGAACAACTATAATCTTCCCCGCCTGATAACTCAAGAGGAGCAGCAGAACGTGACAATGAAGACCGCACGTGCATATTGAGGACCGTTATAGCTATGACACCAATGGCAATGAATACAGCTGCACCAATAGCTATGAGAGCTGATATGCTGAATACGATCTTGTGACCATGAGTTGGAGAGGAAGAACCATGGACGGGGTTGGATGAATTAGGGTTGAGGACAATGGGTTTGGGGTGAACGGAAGGGCAGGCACGGGTAACAGCAGATCCACATAGGGATGGGTTGTCTGAGACAGATGACGGCGGGATAGTGTTGAAGAATCCCCCTAATGGCAGTTCACCCTCAAGGTGGTTGTGGGAGACATTGAAGTAGAGGAGATGGGAAAGATTTGTCAGCTCTTTCGGTAT